GTTATGTTGTAGTTTTAATTATATTTAAAAAAATGCAATTAAGTATGTTATATTGTTCAACAAAATAAAAATTAACAACAGTTTCTTTTTGATTGTAAACAATTGGTTCAAAGATGTAATTTTTGCGCATTAATATTCTTTTAAGAGGACGTAACGCTAGCATTTCTTGCCTCTGTTTAACAAGACGTGTGTAACATACCAAATTTACAGTCCGCAGATCACATGTAGTTTTGTGAGTTTAAAAACCTAACCTAACCTAATCAAGTGAATCAACCTATCATGAAACATAATGGTAAGAACATTATCTATATGTTTATGTTTTTTTACAATAGTTCAATTTTATAGCAAGATTTGCGTATATAATAAAGTATAAATTTAAAATGCTCATAACTCACTTAAAAACTGAATTATCTTAGGACCCCACTATACAAATACAGATAATATTTTCATTATTAAGTTTCATAAGAAGTTGATTCACTCTAATTTTTAAATTAATGAAGCTACAAATGATCTGTTGAGTGTAAATTTGCTATGTTATGAATTAAGACAACAAAAKCCAGTGTAACGTCCTCTTAAAATTATTATAAAAATAATGCAAGCCTTGCTAACTGTATGAATAAAGATATATCAAATACTTTAATGAGGGCACTTTAAAATCTATTTGTCTTAGTACYAAATAAATTATATTTTACCGAGAATAGTATCAAAACACTAATTAAGTATATTTTGTAGTATTTCCAAGATCTGACTATTATTAGAAATAAAAACTGGTCATCAGTTCAATCAGCCAGCTTGATAGCAATGCAAAACAAGCACAAGAAAAGGATTCAAGAGACATCAACAACAGCCACCGACCATCTAGATTATTAACAGGCGATACGAATCTTGAACAATTAACTGCAAAGGGGTCAATTGTACATATTCTTCTCTGAAGTTAGTCTTGATGACCTAAACACAAGTTGAGAAATTATAAAAAATTTCTAAAAATATCACTGGTATCTTCTCTGTTATTACGTTTATAGTTKCACTAAGTTTCTTTTGCGTGRTCTTAACATTTGTATACATACAATATTCAATGTAGACTGAAACTGCCAGACAGGCAACTTTATCATTAGATGAGTGTACCTTCATGGTATCAAAAACAGTTCGCCATGGTTGTCCACCACATCTAAAAGTACAAAAAATGTTTAACATGATTAGAAAATAATTCAAACCATCTAAACTACATGAGCCTAATATTTGCACAGAAATAAGAACAAATGTAACTAACTAACTTATCATATGATATAATAATTTGTTCTACAATCAATATTTTAAATTAATATTTTGTTTGTTTGTCAATCATAATGTTGAAGTAAACCCAATATTATATAATTTAAATCACCGCTGGTAATCCAAAATTAAGTATTTAATTTTTAACAAAAAAAAAACACCAATAAACCTAGACTAACCTGTTGTGTTTAACTTCAACAACTAACATAGGTACTTGTCCTACAATGAGCATAAGCTMCAAAACTTAATATTAATTAATATTAATAAATTTAATACTTGTATTATCATTAATACAAACCTATTTTCAAGTCCATAATAAAAACACTAAGCCTAAACAATATATTAAATGAAATAATATCAAAAGCTATTGTTTAAAAATCAATAAAAAATTAAATAATACAAGTACAGGCAGTGGCGTACTGACCGGGGGGGGAGGGGGGTTACCCCCCCAGTGAAATACGAATAATGATTTTTTTATGGAATTTAGGCTAGGATCATGTTACGCGTTTTGTCGGTCGGTCTCTTCCCGGTGGTTTTAAAAAGTTCCATATATCGGTCTAGTCTGGCCGCKATAACRCATTAATAATTATTTTTGTCGAAAAATAATTGCTATCATTCCAYGTTACATTTTATTACATGATTGTTTATGAGCAAAGCACTAAGTTCATACACAGATATACGTGCGCGTGTAATGTGTATAATAGGTAATATTAGTACTTAGTTCTGTATACAATTTTTTCAATACTCCYAAACGACAAGAAGTTCTTTTAAGTACAATTGCAAGTATAGAAACAAATACAAAAGCCACTAGACTWAAAAATTTATGCCCCACAARATGGATTCAACGTCATGAATCAGTTTTAATTTTCTTAGAACTACAAAATGCTGTTACAATTTCAATATTGAAATCTCAACTGACGCTGTACTAAATGAATTATCAAAATCATTGAGACAAATTAATATTAAGTTATAAATTAATAGGTTAGTGTTTTTAGATCATAAAATATACATTTAAAAAAAATTTAATTGTGCATGTCTTTTAAATATAAAAAGAATACAATTGTATGAACATTTTTTTTTTTATATGTACATAAAATATGGTAAACCCCCCCCCTCCCATTAAAGAATTCTGCGTACGCCACTGAGTACAGGAATATCTCAAAATTGTTAATGCACGTTCCACAATTCAAATTTAAATGATTTTTTAGATAGTTAAAAATGATTTTTCTTTAAAAGAAAATATAAGTGTAAAATTGCATTAAGAAAAAAAATATTAAAATAACACAAATATTTTGTAATAAATAAAAACAAGCAAAAAAAAATTTGATTTTACTTTTTTGTTWTTGATCTTAGGTAAATGTATAAATTACTTAGCTGTCAAAGTCCTAAAGTGTTCCATAACAAAAATTTTCTAATCTTAAAAGTTACAARCCTAACTTACTATACTAATATAATTATTACCTGACTAATTTGAATACTATTTGCACATTGAAATCAAAGTGTTTTCCATTTYTATACTATTCTCCTATGTTACTCTTGAAATACTGGATCCTTGTGACCTTGTCTGTACAATAAATTACTCCAATAATTCAAMAAAAGTTGTGGTATTTGCACATCTAGTTTTTTAATTTCATTTTGGACATGATAATGGATTGCTACACAGTTTAAAACGCATTTCACAACTCCAAATACAATAGACTAGTGAATCTGAATAACATCACCTATGAAAAACAAAGTTTAAAAAAAATTGATACAATTTTTCAACCAAAAAAAAATTGCCTTCATTATGAACATACTATATTAATTTACTTGAAATGCTCTGATCTCATAATGTTACAGTACATATAACAGTTGAATTTCTAGTAGCTGATCATCCTTCGTCATAATATGGTATAAAATTGAATCATGAACATATTTAATTCAACCTGAAATTATATTAAAAAATCATTCCATAAATCGTTAATCGAGAATATAAAATATAACTCTGAATTACCTAAATCTGATTTTAAAAATATTATCATTATAATGTCCAAGCAAGCTGTTGAAAGCATCTTACGATCGTGATTTATTCTAGACATAGGTAGATTTTTTAAAACATCTAAAACATATTCTTTACCAGAACGGTCAGAATTTGATGATATATTGACTRACATTTTTAATTGTTTATTAAATATAAATATTGAATGAAAACGGAATACGGAAATGGTTAAAAATGTTAAAATGATTAAATGAACAAGACGAATGCGCTGTGTAGCGTAAAAAAAAGCAATAATCATAAGAAGATATTAAGTGAATAAAGTGTTATATGAATTATAGTTTACTATTTTTATTACATTTTATCAAACCAAAAACGATTTCTTCAAAAAACAAGTCGTAYGCTAGAAAAAGTCCTTTTCGCTACGCCTGTACAATCGAATTAATAATATTTTTAAATGTTCGATCGATAAAAAATGATAACGATTCATTGTGCAACTGATGATAATATTATGTTTTACTTTTCGATTACCAGGTTAATGGTTCTAAAACCTACACAGCGCTGCTGATGCGCCTGCAGTGCAGCTGCAGCGCTTGTATCCACATAATATTATTATCATTATTATTATTATTACTATTATTTTTTTTTTTTTTACTACGGACGTGATATGAGGAACGAATGTATTACGCGGCGGCGCAACTACCTTCATTTTATAGTTTATATACATGTCATTATCTATATGTATGTACAATATACAGCTTACACTAGTCCCAAGCATCAGCCGCGGTCACGACTCACGACACACGAACACACAATCGTCCAGCGCAAGTGAGTCAGTGAGCGTAACGTAGTAACGTACACCGCGTCCAACGGCGTTGTGTTCCGCGTTTCCGCCATTTAATATCGTTTCTTTATTCGCCCAGACCGACCGACCACTAGTAGTCGGTTAGAACTAAACGCCTTACATTTTACTTCATGTTTTTATCAATTTTTGTGCTTAAATTGTCAAGTTTCCGCTATTACTACTAGGATCCGATAATTTTGAGGTATTCCGCATTGATGGTCCTCAGTACCGCCGTGACGTCGCCAGTTGTGTTTGTTCTGACATTTTACTAGTGAGTGCGCTATACTATCACATACCTAGTTGGTGTTTGATGTTGATGAAATCAAATAAAAATGCATGTTTCGTATTGCTATGTTTATTTTAATTAAATCGTTAATATTTTTAGGTAAATTAATGATTTTATTGTGCAACTGTGTGAATGATTGGATTGCCTAGAGTTTATAAAGCCAAAACAATCACCGTGAAAATTGACAATATGAAACGTAGAAGTTATGGTGACTCTCCTCCCATGTCACGTAAAAAACGTCATAGCAGTATTAACAGGTATGATGGTAGTTCTGACGAGAGAGGATCGCCCGAACGTGTACGCCGTAGAGCTCGCTCGCCACCCAGTCCTAGAGCACCAAGGTATTCAGAACGTGATGAATATAGCCGTTCTAGGGAAATTGAACGATCGCACCCCACTTATAAAGTGTTATCAGTGAGTGCTTTACATCCTAAAGCAAGCGACGAACAGGTCAAAGAAATATTATATCGAGAATATCGCAAATTTGGTGAATTTAATGTTAAAATTTCACATGAATTGGATGAAAGAGTGGCGTATGTGTGCTTTAGAAGCTCAGAAGATGCTAGAGATGCCAAACATAGTAAGCCTAGAATAAGTTTATTTGATAAAATGGCCTTAGTTACACCTGTTTATGAAAGTCGTAGTTCTAGAGATCATTATGAATCAAGAACTAGGCGTTCTCGATCTCGAAATTTTTCACCAGAGTTTGAACGATACTATCATAGGTCTCCTATGCCTCCAGAACTTCATAGGATTCATCCAGCTGATAGGTTTTATGAAAGGATACCATATGGTACTATTCCTCCCATGATGGCACCACAACGAGAGTTTCGAGAATTGGGTTTGCCACCATTACATCATCATGAAATAATGATACCTCGAGGACCGTTAATACATCATGTGGCGCCTATTCATCCTCATTTAGGGCCAATTCATCCATTGTATGGACCACCAAGACATTTTATGCCACCATTTAGACCACATCCTCTTCCTCCTATGATACATGACAAAAAAGATAAATTTCCAAACTATTTGCACCACATTCCACCAGAAGACGACCCGTTAGCTACACGCACATTGTTTGCTGGAAATTTAGAAGTTTCCATTTCTGATGAAGAACTTCGCCGTATATTTGGTAGATATGGTGTTGTTGAAGATATTGATGTTAAACGACCATTGCCAGGAACAGGAAATGCATATGCTTTTGTTCGCTATCAAAATTTAGATATGGCTCATAGAGCAAAAGTCGAATTATCTGGTCAATATTTGGGCAAATTTCAATGTAAAATTGGCTATGGAAAATCTACACCAACACAACGAATATGGATTGGTGGTTTGGGTCCTTGGACATCACTTGCTCAACTAGAACAAGAATTCGATAGGTTTGGTGTTATTAAAAAAATTGAGTATGTCAAAGGTGACATTTGTGCCTATATACAGTTTGAAAGCATTGATGCGGCAACTGCAGCAGTCAAAGAAATGAGAGGAGTAGCTTTAGGAGGCTCTGAACATAAACTAAGAACAGATTTTGCTGATGGAGGTGTCTGCGTCAGTCCTACATTAACTTATTCATCAAAGTCTAAGTCATCTCATGATGATGTAGCAGCATCTGCAGGAGATTTACGAGAGTTAGTAAGACAAGACGAATATCCATATGGTTGGCCAGATGGTGAGTATCCTTACAGTTCTAGAAGTTATCGTAAAAGTCGTACAGAATACTGTGAAGAAAGCAAAGAATTTGGCAATTATGAGAACGGTAGATCATTCAAGCAGCATTCTGTTTCTGATATTGGTTCTCCTCGGTCACCACTTCACCAATCAATTGACAGTGATTTAGAATCTGAAGAAGGAACAATACAATCTGGAGGTATTTTTAGTTCTGTTCGTACTCTAGGAGATTTGGCTCATAAATGTACTAATATATGGCAAGGCAGTCTTGTATTAAAAAGCTCTCAATTCCCAGCTAAATGCCATTTAATTTCTGGTGATACAAATGTTATAGAGTCAATGATGAGAGATGAAGATGGTAAATCAACATTACGCATAACTCAACGGTTACGTTTAGACGAGCCAAAGTTGGAAGATGTTTCTAAACGTATAATAACTGCTGACTTGCATGCAATATTTTTGGCAATGCCTTGTTCCACTAACTCCATTTCTAATGATGATGCATCTGTACAAATTAGACCGTTACGTAATTTAGTATCCTATTTAAAACAAAAAGAGGCGGCTGGGGTTATATCATTGATAAGTAAAGATCCTGAACCAACTGGTGTATTATATGCATTTCCTCCATGCGAGTATTCGGCCAAATTATTGAAACAAAGTGCAAAAAATTTAAGCAGTGAAACATTAAAAGATGATCATTTAGTTGTGGTAGTGGTTAGTGGGGGTGTTTTGTAATAAGATATTCATTTTTAATTCAATTTTTAATTAGGTTCATTAACCTATAGAAAGGACACTACACTCGCATGCGTTATCTCTGTCTTACATGCATACAATACATCAAACACAATAATCTATAATATTCAGTTATTATTTTTAATTGAGTAAATTAACCTATTCAAAAATTGAAACGTGATAATATTATCCAGGGCATTTGGAGGGTTTTATAGGTAATTTATGATRACTTACCAAATTATRCATTTTGAATAATTCATTTAGTTGTGTTGTGTTTAATATTGAGGTGAATTGATCTATTATCAAATTTAAAAGTGAGAATTTTATCTTGGTGAATCTGTACCAACATTTATAATTTTTATTTGGTCATAACTAAAGAGCGGATTTTTAGGTTCTTAAAAGCTTAAAATATGATGCTAATATGCTCTAAAAAAACACTAAAATATTCTCTAAATATGCTTTAAACTTATAAATATACAAATCGATAAATTAACAATATATATGATATTTTTATGAACAATAATAGAAAATATTCTAAAATATGAAAAATAGGCTAAATATTCTCTTATGTCCAAAATATGCTTTAATATGCAAAATAAATTTTTTCCTGCGAACTCTGTGA